TATCAAAAGTAGAGAACATGAAATATTTTTAGTTTCGCTTATGTTGCCCCATAATTTATATGTATCTCAAACAATAAAGTTTTCAGCGTACTATTCGAAGTCACCTGCCTCGTGTATGTAGCGGGGCGATGCGAGCCCTCGTTATAATGTATAAGATTAAGAGCCATCACGTGACACCATCCAAGAACACCATCTTCACTTCAAACTGACCAACGGAACAATACTTCCTCAAAATTCACTATTTAACAGTATCTAGATTAATCGATGGTCAAATATATATGGTTGTCAAACGGGAGATTTAATGAATACAATAATTCTAGCTACTGACAGTGATCGATTGCTTCATCGAAACACATAACATGACCAGTAATACATGCAACTGGTACATCTACGGACAAGTCAACTTACACTTTTGCGGCACTACACAATTTGTACCTTTAAACACATATTTTTGAACGAACGAAAACCACGCGGGCAGGATATGAAACTGTAAGTTTCCGCTGCAACACAGTGTCTACAAACAAACTTCAAGAATAAGAAAGTATTTTCCCGAACCGAGCGTTCACTACATACATAATAACAAGCTCCGAAATCAATACTGCCTAGAAAAAAAACTTACAGTGCAAAAGTCAGTGCGTATGCAATTGAAGAAGATTATCCGCTGCCTGACAAGCATTCGAATATTTTCCCACCAGACGCGCAAAAGCAGGGCTAAGCCCACTTGAAAAGCGTTTAAGATGCTTAAGAAGAAAAAAAAGTTTTGTTTTCCTTAAAATTATACATAGAAATTGGAAATTCGTTCAAAGAGGAAAAAAAATGAATTGAGTGATGAGCACGAACGATACATAACGGCAAAATGTAACGGTTACAAACGAACCATGATTGCACTGGGACCTCAAATATTAAGCACTGAGACGATGAACAGGAGTCTGGGTTAAAATGCATCTAAATGTCGCCCGGCCCCCGACCTCGACGGTCAAATTGTCAGGTTCGTCCAGAAAAAAAAATCCGTCGCCTCCAAGAAAGCCACGAGACACATCACGGCAAATGCAAAACCGACCATGATTTCCTTATAGTCCAGCGGATTATGTGAAAAAAATTGTGCACTTTTGCATAAAAGCAAGAAACTTGGCACAGATGTTCATATTCATGCGAGAAAATGTTTTAAATGTGGAGCCATCGCAAATTCACCCTTTTAGGGCGTGGCATCATTTTAAAAAAGGGGGGGGCTGGTGGGACTCATCGTGCCCGCAGTGAAAATGGTTTTTCCCACTTGTCACAAAAGCAGGAAACTTCGCAAAGACATAATTATATAGCCTATGAGTGTTTCCCAGATTCGGAGCCACCACAAAAGTACCTTTTTGGGGGCGTGGCAGCCATTAAAAAAAAAGAGGGGGGTAAATACTATGCCCACCTTGGGAAAAATTGTGCTCATATTTCATGAACGAATAAAACGTCCCACAGACATTTATACTCATGAAGGGGAAACAATTCCAGATATGGAGCCATCTCGAACACACCCTTTTTGGGGCGTGGCAACAATATTAGAAAAAAAAGGGGGCGGGTTTTTCGTTATGCCCACCATGGAACCACTGTTCCCACATTCGTAGAGAAATGGAATTTCTCCACAGCCATTAACATTCATGAGAAAAAAATTCCAGATGTGGAGCCATCGCGAACACACCATTTTAGGGGCGTGGCAACCATATTGAAAAAAAGGGGGCGGGGTTCTCATTATGCCCACCATGGGCAAAATGTGCTCACATCTCATAAACGAATGAAGCTAATTTCTACAGACGTTAATATTCGCGAGAAAAAATTCAGACGTGGAGCCATCGCAAACACACCCTTTTAGGGGCGTGGCAGCCATAGTAGAATGGGGGGGGGTAGGGTAGCCATGATGCCCCTTTATAAAACGTGTGCCTCCCTTTTATAAACAGATTAAACTCCACACAGACAATATATTCATGAAAATCGTTCATTTTTTGGAATGTGAAGCCATCACAAACTTACCCTTTTAGAGGCATGGCATCCATTTAAAGAATTGGGAGTGCTTTTAATCATTTGCCCACCATCGAAACTTGTGCTTACCTTTCATAAATGACTAAACTTCACACAAACTTGGTAAAAGAAAATAAATTTAGATGTGGAGCCACCGCAAACTCATCTTTTTAGAGGCGTGAGGGGCTTACTCATTGTGCCCACAATTTTTATATTTGTGGCTGATTTCTTATAATGTTGATTGTTCTCTTTTTCTCCTGGTGGGGGTGCAAAATCCACCTACCCCTACCTGTTGCGCCGCATGACAGCAGATTGGGTCACAACACGATGTACTCTCCTCACAAAGTGGTGGTGACGTCCACTATGACTTCACACTCAATGAATCTGTGTACCCCCACCCATGGAGCTATAGCTCCATGCCCTACCATGTACACCCCCTCTGTTCACTAAAAAAAAATGGTATATCAATATCTCTGATGAGTGTTTTTACCCCAACCAAATCCAATAAAAAAAATCGGTAGCCCTGACAACATTTTAAACTTTATACAGGTTGCGACATTGCATTTGCCTTTGGGTCTGTTAGAAAAAAAGGCAGGGGAAACACATAATGTATTTGAAAGTAACAATAGTCTTTCCAAGACTAACTGAGGTACCTCAGTTTATACCCCAGTTCAGAAATTGCTGCAGTTGAGAGGTTATTAACAATAATTCTACAGACGACAGAACCAGTAACTGGGTTAATATACATGTAGATGAGGCAAGAATGCATAGTGTAAGAAAAAAGGGTTTGCCAACAGTCACTTCCAACTATAAAAGCGGCCTTACTCAAACACATTAGAAGAGCTATCTGAAGTGGATTTTATTATATGAAAAGCGGTCAAAATTGTCCACGGTGGGCATATTGAGTACCCCCCCATTTTAAAAATGGATGCTACGCCTCTAAAAGGGTAAGTTTGTGATGGCTTCACATTCGAAAGAAGAAAGATTTTCATGAATATATTGTCTGTGTGGAGTTTAATCTCTTTATAAAAGGGAGGCACACCTTTTATATAGGGGCATCATGACTACCACCCACCCAAATTTACTATGGCTGCCACGCCCCTAAAAGGGTGAGTTTGCGATGACTCCATGTCTGAATTTTTTTTCTCGAGAATATTAACGTCTGTGGGAATTAGCTTCATTCGTTTGTGAGATGTGAGCACATTTTTCCCGTGGTGGGCATAATGAGAACCCCGCCCCTTTTTTCAATATGGCTGCCACGCCCCTAAAAGGGTGTGTTGCGATGGCTCCACATCTGGAATTTTTTCTCATGAATGTCAATGGCTGCGGAAAAGTTCCATTTCTCTACGAATGTGGGAACAGTGGTTTCATGGTGGGCATAACGAAAACCCCGCCCCCTTGTTTTTCTAATATGGTTGCCACGCCCGTGAAAGGGTGTGTTCGAGATGGCTCTTCATCTGGATTTTCCCCCTCATGAGTGTTAATGTCTGTGGGACGTTTTATTCGTTCATGAAATATGAGCACAATTTTTCCCAAGGTTGGCATAATATTTAACCCCCCCTTTTTAAATGGCTGCCACGCCCCCAAAAAGGTACTTTTGTGGTGTCTCCGAATCTGGAAAACACTCATAGGCTATATAATTATGTCTTTGCGAAGTTTCCTGCTTTTGTGACAAGTGGGAACAACCGTTTTCACTGCGGCATGATGAGTCCAACCCCCTTTTTAAAATTGATGCCACGCCCCTAAAAAGGTGAATTTGCGATGGCTCCACATCTAAAACATTTTCTCGCATGAATATGAACATCTGTGCCAAGTTTCACGCTTTTACGCAAAAGTGCACAATTCATCGATATTTTTGTCACATATCCGCTGGACTATTAATGAATCAAATGCAAATGATTTTTTCAAGCTCGTGTTCCTCGCTTTTGATTTATTTCTCTTTCACAATCAGCATGCGACATTTCTTTCCTTATTAGTTGTGAGATGAATTAGCAGTTGATACTGATCATCTTTAGTTCAAACAAACTACTTCAAAAGCGAAAATAAATGCAATCATTTTAGCTGCATTGCTTACCCTATAAATGGTATCAAACAAACGTAAGTTCCGCTATGTTGTGTCCTTTGAGTAAGCGCTTCCCTGAATAATTATTTCAAAAGATAAAAATACGTGCTTTTGGAAATGCTAATTCCCTGCACTTTAAAAAATGTAATGCTGTTAACGGTAATACTGTAGGCCCTTTGCTGTATCCTACATCTACTCTTTTTACAGACACACTTTTCTTCTGCTTTAAAAAATGTGTCATTTGAGAGTGTCTTTCAATTATACTGATATTAAATCTGTATATCAGTGGAAAATCTGGTTATTAAAAAGTATCAGGAGGTCAATTCAACTCCAAAGAATTACTGTTGAACAAAATTAGTTGTTGTACTTGTTTCTATCTACAAAATGTTACACTGGAAGGTACTATCTTTTATGGATAAGTAGAGTCAACCTCGACTCCATGGGCTGCGTGGGCGTTCCTTCAGGTTGCAGACCAGTAAAGACCCAAAATTGTCTACGCTGACTAAACCACTATTATTATTGAATATAACTTCTCAGGCAAAATACAAGATTTGCATGCCCTCGAATTATTTGCCGATAGAGAAAATGACTGAGAGCTTGTCCCGGACTGCAAGATGGTATTTTGCTGCAATTTGGAGGAAATTGGTCCCTAAATGCCACATTTTTGCAATGGAGCGTAGGTATCATTTTTCATGGCGATAAAATGAAAGATGATGAAATAATCTGATGAGTGTCTCAAACACCCTGGAGAGTTGAGAGATTTTTTTCCTGATATTTTAAAGTGGGGTATATTTTATCACTGGTGTCTTAGGCAGTTTATTTACTGTCCTGCAACCTTCACTAGTTAAGATCGCGCAAGGCATGTTGTGAACCAACATGGCGCAGCAAGTTCGTAATCATGAGAACGAGGTTGAAGTACAGCATCATGCAGAGACCCCTAGCGGGCAGCATTCATCTCCATGTACTCGCTGTTTGCAGTAGGACCTCGGTTGGCATCAAGCCTTGGTATCTCATACCCATCATCTAAGACGATACTAAGATCCTGCACTCCTCCGTCGCGAGTTCCAGAGTCCTCCTGATTGCCCAGTACGCTCCTCCGTGTACACATGAAGCAGATGATGAGCAATCCACCAACAGAAGTAACTGACAATCCACCGATACCAATCCACAAGTAAGGAGGTTCATGGGAGTCTTCGTCACCACCAGACGTGCTGTTGGTCACGAAATGGTCGTCGGGGAAGGGGATGATAGTCAGAACTTTGCTCGTCTTGCTCGTGCCAATGGCGCTGTAGGCCGTACATCTCACCTGCAAACCATCGTCGTCTTGTCCAGGAATCAACAGAAGAAATCTCGTCTGATCACCGACGATCACGAATCTATCGTCCGTGCTGGCATCGATCCACTCTGGTTGTGTACCATTTGGAAATTCAACAACTCTCACGGACCACGAGTAGCGCGTATCTGACAGCGCGGCATCCGCGACGCATTCAAACTTCAATGCCGATTTTTCACCGGACTTTTCCTGCTGAAAACGAACACTGACTGTCTTGATTTCGAACGGATACAAGTTACAGTTCGGTCCGTTATTGATGTCGTTGCCAGCAATACAAGTGAACACTCTGAATTTATCAGATTCTTGGAGAACACGCTCGATGGTGTAAGACTGTCCGGGGTCGATCTTGAGACTGCAAGTGGAGCCGGGTGTCTCAGGCGGGTACCATGTCAGCTTTGTACGGGTGAGAGCCTCCTCTGGTACTCGACACGTCAACCTGACTGTATCTCCTACTCGGACACTTGATGATAACATCGTACACTGAGGAGTGGGCGGTTCAACTACAGTCAAATGTCCACATCTTGAAAACTCGTTCAGATGAGAAATCCTGCAGGCATAGTTCCCTGCGTCACTAAGTTGTACATCGTTGATTTGCAGCAGAGTGGTACTTTTATCAAACGTTGACGAAAATCGACTGGTGTCTATAGATGGAACAAGGGATACAGACCGGCAAGTTGCTATGGTTACAAAGGAACCACGAGTGCACTGGGAGCTCGAATACAACCACTGCGAAACTGAACAGTCGTAGTCTTGGTTAAAGTCGCATCTAAACGTCGCTTGGTCCCCAACCTCGACGGTCAAATTGTCAGGATCATCCACGAACACGGTCGCCTCTGAGAAAGCCACGAGACACAACACGGCAAATGCAATACCGGCCATTTTACTTGATGAATCAAATGAAAATGATTTCATAAAAGCTCGTGTTCCTGACTTTTGACTTATTTAACTTACACTAGTCTGCATGCGATACTTATTTCCTGTTGTGAGCTGAAATAGCAATTGATTCATCATCTTCATTTTAAACAAACAACTTACAAAAGCAAACAAACCAATCATTTTAGTTGTATTGATCGCCCTAAAAATATACTAAACACTTCCGTTAATATTACAAGTTTGTGCCGAGTCCAGGCAACAGTCAAGACTACATAAATGCATTTACGAGCGACAAAGCGACCAACAATTTTCGATTTTCTCCCAATAACAATATTTTCCTTCGATCTCTGAATTTCAACGAATGCAGTGCTGTTTCCTTACTACTTTTTGGTCACTAGGGGAAACATGAGATTCATCCGAATAATGTCAAATTCACCACTCTTTAAAGGCCAATCCGGACACGTGATTAATGGACACTCACGACGCCCCCTTCAATGGAGAAACCATTGTGCACGCTACTGTATCTACAAAACCAATATCTGGTCAATAGCTAGCACAATGCTTTTGTCATTGATGGGGGCCTGCGTGATGGAATTGATAGCGTGCCCGGTTTGTTTTATAACTTATAAAAGTTCCAAATATGCAAGCATGACATTACCTTTTGCGCTGTTACACTTTATTTACAGAACTACCTTGCGATGTTTACAATCTTTATTATTCATGTCATTTAATCCACTAGTTTTGTTTTCTGTTAGTCATACTTTATGATATACTGACGGCCATCAATCCCTAAAGGTAAAAATGAAAGTGCTTGACAGAATTATCTCGATTTAACTTCTGATTAGCATAATAGTGTTAATTGCAGATGGTAAATGTGTTACTAGATACAACGCCTTTAATAAATCCCCGTCGTCTGATTGGTGGGTCGTTGATCACGTGGCATTGAATTATTCGTACCAACGTACAGCCCGGCCGCACCGCAAAAATGGAAGTTCCATTCCATGGTAAACAGCTCTGACTAATCAGATGACGAGGATTTATTCAGGTGTTGTATAAAACAAATAATGAATATTTCACACTCGTGCAATGGAAAGAATAATTTCATTCGCTGACAGAAGGAATGTTCCTTCGCCTCTTGGAATGGAACATTTTATCTGTCATCTCATCAAATTATTATTACCACTGCAGTCATCAACTATCATTATTCGTATATTGTTATTCCGCTTTGAATTTCCACCTGTCTAGTTTGAAGGCAAATGCATCAATACAATACTTACATTATTAATATTATTATTATCAATACAATATTTTACAGACCCAGAAATAATGTCCGATTGAAGTGATCATTTAAACAAAGTTGTTAGTGTTCAATATCCCTCAAAGAACAGTTGGCGTCCACAAATTACTGTGATTTTCTGTTTTGATGTGACTTTACACACGTTTAATGATGTACCGCGTCTGTGCTTAGTTCGAGTCCCGTAGCCCGCCCGCCCCCACCCATGAAAAAACTTTCAAAATGGCATTTTCTAGTAAAACAAACAGCTTCTATTTTCAATGAGCCTTCGAAAAAAAACCAGAACAATCCGCCAAGTTTAGTTATGACTATTTATAAATTTTTGAACTGATTTGCTGCCCGACAATCAAGCGAATCTGGTGTGCAGCAGAGCAAAACCAGGGGGTGGAAGTCCCTGAAAGAGGGATTTATGCAGACGCTTCAGTAGAAAAAAAAAGGAAATTGACAATTTGTTGGGAGAATAAAAAATGAAATTTGGAGAAGAGCAGGAACAGAACAATTTTTAACAGTTGTCAATGCCGCACATATAGCGTATGGATGTGCCACACGTGGCTGCTTACGTACCAAGAGTCTTAATCGTGGGACGAAAAAATATTACGGTAGAGACCAGTGGTAGTTCGGGGGGGGGGGGGGGGCTGGGGGATTATTTAGTAACCCCCCCCCAAAAAAAAAATAAAATCCATAAAAAAATGCACTAGCTAAATGTAAGAATGTGACGTACATGCGAACGGTCTCCCCCTGAATAAATAGTCGTGAGAAAGGTGCATTTGTACACTTTTAGTATAATCAGTTATCAGTGCTCCTCCGCTGAACATAATGCCCCCCCCCCACATGATTTTCGGAGGCCTAAGTGTCCGGATAAATAACTGGTCTACATTTCAGCACGCCTCCCTAAAAACAATTATGGATCCACCTTGCTATAGCCCCCACAATATTGGCTTTCAAATCACGCATGAGGTGGGCGTGGCCTCTTGTGGTTCACGCCCACATCCGACAGCCGTGTATTCCCAGGGAAGAAATCGTCAATCCTAGAAAAAGTCTGAAATGTGATGAGGTTCGAATGATGCATCGCTTCCTACCTTGACAAGGTCTTTCTCGCGGACTCTGATTCAGACAAAAGTCTGAACAATCTCATGCCTGTATTCTAGAATGGATTCTTCCGGGGTATCGGGACTGTCATGAACCGTTGGCTGCGTTGATTTCCCCCGTGTTATCATCGGATTGATGTGAGCGTGGGCGGAACCGTCTCCAGTGGAGTCGGTGATGGGGGCTGGAGGCGCGTTCTGCCCACGAGATTTTAACGGCGGGGCGGTCATACCTCGGGGTTGAAAGCGTCGCTGGCTGAAGGGTAACGGCTTGGGTGGTAGTGGCATGGGTGCGAAGCTGGACTGATGACCACCACTTATCCGCGTTGTGACATTGGGCATATAGGGTGACAGAGTGGCTTGTGAGGAGATTGGGCCATCATCGGAAGGAGTAGGGTCTGATAGCAAGCCTGTCGGCTGAGGTGTGGTCATGCTGGTTGTGGATCCTGCTCCCGTGTCGGTCGTCTTTCTGCCCAATCGTTTCTTGATAAAGAACCACGAGAAGGAAGATAACAGGTACCACCAAGATTGGAGCAAAAGCAGCCATCCAAGTGTATGAAGAAGATTCTTGAGAGATGTCGGTATTGTCAGTGCTGCTGGTCACGAAATGGCCGTCGGGGCAGCCGACGATGGTTACGGATAGCGCTTCGCTCGTCTTGCTCGTGCCAATGGCGCTGTACGCCGTACATCTCACCTGCAAATCGCCGTCGTCTTCTTTACAAATCAACAGAGAAATATTCAGTTGACCACCGACGATCACGAATCTATCGTCCGTGCTGGCATTGATCCACTCAGGTTGTGCACCGTTTGGAAATTCCGCAACGCTCACGGACCACGAGTAGCGAGCATCTGGCAGCGCTGCGTCCGCAACGCAATCAAAACATCAGTGCCAAGTTTTCCTGCTGAAAACGAACACTGACTGTCTTGATTTCGAACGGATACAAGGTGCAGTTCGGTCCGTTATTGACGTTGTTGCCAGCAATACAAGTGAACACTCCAAACTTGTCAGATTCTTGGAGAACACGCTCGATCGTGTAAGACTGTCCCGGGTCTGTCTTGCGACTGCGAGTGGAGCTGGCTGCCTCAGGCGGGTACCATGTCAGCTTTGTACGGGTGAGAGCCTCCTCTGGTACTCGACACTTCAACCTGACTGTGACTCCTACTCGGACAATTGATGAGAACATCGTACACTGAGGAGTGGGTGGGTCAACTACGGTCAAATATCCACATCTTGAAAACTCATTCAGATGAGAAATCCTGCAGGCATAGTACCCTACGTCACTAAGTTGTACATCCTTGATTTGCAGCAGAGTGGTACTTTTACCAAACGTTGAGAAAAATCGACTGGTGTCAAATGGTGGTACAAGCGATACAAACCGGCAAGTAACTATGGTAACAAAGGAACCATGACTGCACTGGGAGCTCAAATATACCCACTGCGAAGCTGAACAGTCGTAGTCTTGGTTAAAGTTGCATCTAAATGTCGCCCGGCCCCCAACCTCTACGGTCAAATTGTCAGGATCATCCACGAAAACAGTCGCCTCAGTGAAGGCCACGAGACACAACACGGTAAATGCAAATACCGGCCATTTTCCTCGATAAATCGAACAGGAATGATTTCATACTGATTGTTCCTCGCGTTCTGACTGTGGGCGTGTTCCACTCTCACAGTCAGCAATACTCTTTCCAATTATGAGTTGAATTGAGCACTTGATAAACTCCACCTCCAATGTAAACTAACAACTATCAAAAGCGGGGGAAATACACTATTCTTAGTTTCGCTTTTGTTTGCCCTATAATATACATGTATCTCAAACACAGAGTCCTCAGCGTAATATTCCGAAGCTACCTGCCCCGTGTATGTAGCGGGCGAGGCAAACCTTCGTTATAATGTATCAGATTAAGAGCCATCACGTGACACCATCCAAGCACACTATCTTTAATTCACACTAAGGCCTAAAAAAAAAAATGTTATGTTGGCGTAACGGGCCAGAAAAAATAGGGTAGGTCGGTCGGTTTTTTTTTTTTTTTTTTTTTTTTTTTTAAATCCCAGCAACGAAAATGACATTAAGCCGGTAGTAGTACACGATAACAAAAGAAAACAAGACTACTATTGTATACTTTTAAACTCTGAGTGACATTTATTTCACTTTTTATGTCTTTCTTTTATAGTTTCTTGTTTTGTGCAAATAAAAACAAAACTGTCAGATCGAGGAAATTTAAGGAAGGCATGGTACATATCAAAGGTACATATCAAAAGCGGAATCCAAAATCAGACAAAATGTTAGCCGTTTCATCTGGCATCGACATCTTTATATGGACCCGATTCTTCCTTGAAGTTTGTATGTTTAGCACGGTGTAACCCGCTTGTACACCATCGGCACAGCTCTGGGCGATTACCCCCAGCTCAAGACTCAAATTTATCCGCATTAAACGGTCGAAAATGACCCGAAGATCCCCATTTGCCCTTGATGGAAACACTGTACGCTTCGGTACCGGGCGCCATGATGCGACGGCGTACGCGCGTAACCACGGGCCGGGGGCCGGCGCGGCGCGGCCGGGTCGGTCGGCCGCCGGGGGTTACAGAATAGTTTACCATTTTTAGAATAAATATATATCAATGTTAT